TGGAAGATTTCAGGATAAATAGAAGATATGTTTTTCTACCAAACATACTTTCAAAAGTAGAAAATCATGGATTTAAAAAACTTTTTTTGTAGCGCTTGATATCTCTAAATGTATGAAGTTTCAAGTGTACTAACTTTATGAACACTTGTCTCTGTTCTTAAATGCATAACATGATCTTAGATTTTTGAGATCTTTAAAAATGTTAAGCAACACAAAGATTTCTACCCCATCTCCCTCCACATCTTTAAAAACCAAAAATCACCACTACCAAAACTCCATTACTGTTTGTGAATGAAGAATTTTCATGACTTGAAAACCTTCCTAATATCCAGGCTTTAACACTAACTTTTTTAGAAAGGAGAGCTCTTGTTATGTTCTTTAACCTCTTTTCACTTCATAAAGTTCTTCATGGTTGACATCAGTATTATCCTCTTAAAAATTCAAATGTGAACTAACAGCACCATTTATTGAAGGCATATTATTTTAAAATTAGTGATTTATCCCAAGGACAAAATGTTAAGTGGAAAAGTCAGTACTCAGATTCAGGTGTGACTCCCAGGCCCAAGCATAGCCTTTCTGAATGAATTAAGAAGGTCACTATATTAATTTTCATAAAGTGAAAGAAAACAAGCATTATATATTTTTCCACATCACAAAATGGTGAAGACCTAAGAGACTCCAGTGGCTGGCTGTGAACCCTACAGCAAGACAGTGGCAGAGTTGGAATGGATTCCAGATGTCTTTGCTAACCATTAAGAAAGAGTTACTGAATAACGTTCCATTACTCTAAAAAGTTACTGTTCCCAAGTGTATTGAGAATTCGGAGATCGGAAGTAAGACAGAAATCTTTGTTTTCAGTTGTCTTTAAGCTTCTGCCAGTAACATGGTCCCAGTAGAAGAAAACATAAAACTGTAATCTTAATCAAAATTTGCAACATCAAATACTATTTCAATAGTTTCAAATACTATTTCAAATAATACTAAAAAATATTTTAAGTGAATAAAGACTAACAATCTTCAAAAGTTTTACAGTTTCCTGTTTGTTTTATTTTGCCTACCATGCAAAACATTAAATTACTTTTATGTAAGAGCTGCTTATTCAAAACTTTGTTCTTACTCTGTTACTAGTTATATTAACAATATATCCCTTTTCTCCTTGGATCTTTGTAATAACGGAGTACAATTATATAACCTTCATGCCATTTATAATTTACCCTGAAGAGTATTACCTAAAGCTCTTAGATTTAGTGAGGACATAAGTTTATCCTATTTTAAAGGGAGAAAATATGATATTGAGAAATCACACCAGTGTATCAGCAATAACTGAGGTTTCAGACCTCTGTGTTTTGCAGTTTTCACACTGACAAATTCTAGAGATGGATTAAAAAAAAAAAAAACTATTAAATCAATATGGTAAAGAAACTACTAATAGCAGGAACAATCAGTCTCTGTGAGGAAATATTTTCCTTGTTAAACATCTGGCCAACATACAAGAGTTTCTAGACTATTTTAAAAATTTTTTTATACAGAGCTACAGTTCTTAACTTTCTGCAGCCAAGCCACTTCAGCCCCTATGGCCAGCCTACTTCACCCAAGTCACTTGTCAACACGTATGTGTACATCCATGTGTGCAGAAGAACAGACAAATTCATATTTAGCTTTCAGATGAAAAGTATACCATTTTAAATGAAAGAGTTGGACTCAGAATAAGTTGTGTCAGAAGTTAAATGATAGAGACATATCCTAAGTCTTGATACTTTAAGAGACTAAATAATCACTTTAGAGGACCTTCCTGTGTGATACTTTTATTTAAGGATCACACTTTGAAAACTGTTACTCTATACTGATTGCCTGAGAAGTTCCTTTTACAGGCTGGCAGAAAAGCGCCCAAAAGAGTGTATGGCAGCGTTTTTCCTTCAAAGATTATTCTATTTCAGAATAGATTAAACTAAAAAATTCACAGAGTAACATTTTAAAATTCCATAACAACAGTCAAAATACTCATTTTTGTTTGTACTACAAAGAGAAAGATAGTCTGCATGGCTATCTATCCCAAAAGTTGTAAAGATCATTGGTCTAGAGAGCCAGCAGACCAGTGCCTTTAAATCAGGTTCTATCTGAAGATATTTTCTTGAAATCACTATGTCAGTATAGATAATTTGACCATCTGTTTCCTGAGTGTTACATAAACCTTCCTTACATCATATGTCAAAATAAAACATTCCAGTTCACTAACCTTCACGGGATTTCAATTCCACTGTCCCCAGTTGACTGACATAAACATCTATAGCACCCTGATGAGCTGAGGCTTTTAGACATCCAGAAGATGAATCTAGGAAGAAGAAAAACCATAAGTAAAATCATTCTTACTTGATGAATGGAATTATAAACTTGAAACAAAAGGCTCTGCTTTAGCACTAGGATAAGGGGCTAAGAATCTTGCAAGGTTTAGTATTTCCTCATAACAATGCCATTGTTTGCACTTAAACGTAAACAGTATCAGAAATCTAGAAATCTATTAAACTAGACAACTAACTAAAAAATCTATATCTACATTAACCTGAATAACTTATCTCTAAACATTTACTCTAAAACTTAATGAATAGGAAGGAGAGTCTGCAAGTAATGGATCCTGAAACCACTAAGCACCATGGATATTTTTAGTTTTTTATCATGTTGACACATTTAGTAAACTTTCAATAATTACCAAAGAATTCTACCTCATGTATAGTCACATACAAGCAGTAGCAAGGCTAACAAAAATCAAAACCTCTTATAATTTCTCCTTGTAGCAAATTTGCTAATACTAAGAAGTACTCCTAATAGTAAAAGATTACTCTACATAAAGTTGTTGAATTTCTTTTTTTCTGTAGAGACAGGGTCTCGCTATGTTGCCCAGGCTGGTCTCTGACTCCTGGGATCAAGTGATACTCCTGGGATTACACACAAATCACTGTTCCTGGCTTGCTGCATTTCTTTAAGGGGCAGAAGGGCAGGGAATAATTTGAAGAATAGCTTGTTTATATCTAATAATTCTTTTCAAGTTTCTGGAATTGAACAGGTATCATTAAGTGTGGATAAGAAAATAATAAAGGTAACCCTGATTTGATATTCAAATTTCCCTATGTTGTTGATGACTCCACTTTTCAATCAACCAGTATTTCAAGTTCAAGTGAAAACAGTCAGAAATAAGGAAGTAAGAAAATGAACTTGAAGAGTCAGTACTAAGTGGTTTTTCCTTCTTCTCTTTCTCCCATGGCAATTGAATCTTTAATTTAGTATTCTATCTGACTGCCTGGAGAAGGCCAAAGCATATTCTTTTTAGAGAAGCCATAGCCTTTCTGAATGAATTAAGAAGGTCACTATATTAATTTTCATAAGGTGAAAGAAAACAAGCATTATATATTTTTCCACATCACAAAATGGTGAAGACCTAAGAGACTCCAGTGGCTGGCTGTGAACCCTACAGCAAGACAGTGGCAGAGTTGGAATGGATTCCAGATGTCTTTGCTAACCATTAAGAAAGAGTTACTGAATAACGTTCCATTACTCTAAAAAGTTACTGTTCCCAAGTGTATTGAGAATTCGGAGATCGGAAGTAAGACAGAAATCTTTGTTTTCAGTTGTCTTTAAGCTTCTGCCAGTAACATGGTCCCAGTAGAAGAAAACATAAAACTGTAATCTTAATCAAAATTTGCAACATCAAATACTATTACAATAGTTTCAAATACTATTTCAAATAATACTAAAAAATATTTTAAGTGAATAAAGACTAACAATCTTCAAAAGTTTTACAGTTTCCTGTTTGTTTTATTTTGCCTACCATGCAAAACATTAAATTACTTTTATGTAAGAGCTGCTTATTCAAAACTTTGTTCTTACTCTGTTACTAGTTATATTAACAATATATCCCTTTTCTCCTTGGATCTTTGTAATAACGGAGTACAATTATATAACCTTCATGCCATTTATAATTTACCCTGAAGAGTATTACCTAAAGCTCTTAGATTTAGTGAGGACATAAGTTTATCCTATTTTAAAGGGAGAAAATATGATATTGAGAAATCACACCAGTGTATCAGCAATAACTGAGGTTTCAGACCTCTGTGTTTTGCAGTTTTCACACTGACAAATTCTAGAGATGGATTAAAAAAAAAAAAACTATTAAATCAATATGGTAAAGAAACTACTAATAGCAGGAACAATCAGTCTCTGTGAGGAAATATTTTCCTTGTTAAACATCTGGCCAACATACAAGAGTTTCTAGACTATTTTAAAAATTTTTTTATACAGAGCTACAGTTCTTAACTTTCTGCAGCCAAGCCACTTCAGCCCCTATGGCCAGCCTACTTCACCCAAGTCACTTGTCAACACGTATGTGTACATCCATGTGTGCAGAAGAACAGACAAATTCATATTTAGCTTTCAGATGAAAAGTATACCATTTTAAATGAAAGAGTTGGACTCAGAATAAGTTGTGTCAGAAGTTAAATGATAGAGACATATCCTAAGTCTTGATACTTTAAGAGACTAAATAATCACTTTAGAGGACCTTCCTGTGTGATACTTTTATTTAAGGATCACACTTTGAAAACTGTTACTCTATACTGATTGCCTGAGAAGTTCCTTTTACAGGCTGGCAGAAAAGCGCCCAAAAGAGTGTATGGCAGCGTTTTTCCTTCAAAGATTATTCTATTTCAGAATAGATTAAACTAAAAAATTCACAGAGTAACATTTTAAAATTCCATAACAACAGTCAAAATACTCATTTTTGTTTGTACTACAAAGAGAAAGATAGTCTGCATGGCTATCTATCCCAAAAGTTGTAAAGATCATTGGTCTAGAGAGCCAGCAGACCAGTGCCTTTAAATCAGGTTCTATCTGAAGATATTTTCTTGAAATCACTATGTCAGTATAGATAATTTGACCATCTGTTTCCTGAGTGTTACATAAACCTTCCTTACATCATATGTCAAAATAAAACATTCCAGTTCACTAACCTTCACGGGATTTCAATTCCACTGTCCCCAGTTGACTGACATAAACATCTATAGCACCCTGATGAGCTGAGGCTTTTAGACATCCAGAAGATGAATCTAGGAAGAAGAAAAACCATAAGTAAAATCATTCTTACTTGATGAATGGAATTATAAACTTGAAACAAAAGGCTCTGCTTTAGCACTAGGATAAGGGGCTAAGAATCTTGCAAGGTTTAGTATTTCCTCATAACAATGCCATTGTTTGCACTTAAACGTAAACAGTATCAGAAATCTAGAAATCTATTAAACTAGACAACTAACTAAAAAATCTATATCTACATTAACCTGAATAACTTATCTCTAAACATTTACTCTAAAACTTAATGAATAGGAAGGAGAGTCTGCAAGTAATGGATCCTGAAACCACTAAGCACCATGGATATTTTTAGTTTTTTATCATGTTGACACATTTAGTAAACTTTCAATAATTACCAAAGAATTCTACCTCATGTATAGTCACATACAAGCAGTAGCAAGGCTAACAAAAATCAAAACCTCTTATAATTTCTCCTTGTAGCAAATTTGCTAATACTAAGAAGTACTCCTAATAGTAAAAGATTACTCTACATAAAGTTGTTGAATTTCTTTTTTTCTGTAGAGACAGGGTCTCGCTATGTTGCCCAGGCTGGTCTCTGACTCCTGGGATCAAGTGATACTCCTGGGATTACACACAAATCACTGTTCCTGGCTTGCTGCATTTCTTTAAGGGGCAGAAGGGCAGGGAATAATTTGAAGAATAGCTTGTTTATATCTAATAATTCTTTTCAAGTTTCTGGAATTGAACAGGTATCATTAAGTGTGGATAAGAAAATAATAAAGGTAACCCTGATTTGATATTCAAATTTCCCTATGTTGTTGATGACTCCACTTTTCAATCAACCAGTATTTCAAGTTCAAGTGAAAACAGTCAGAAATAAGGAAGTAAGAAAATGAACTTGAAGAGTCAGTACTAAGTGGTTTTTCCTTCTTCTCTTTCTCCCATGGCAATTGAATCTTTAATTTAGTATTCTATCTGACTGCCTGGAGAAGGCCAAAGCATATTCTTTTTAGAGAAGCCTCTTAAAAAGCATATTTTATCAGGAGGTTTTATTACTTCAAAGTGGAAACAAAGTAGGAAGTGTGGTGAAAACTATGCCAAAAATATACTTTCTACAAAACAGAGAAAGAAAACATTTGTGTGTGTGTGTGTGTGTGTGTGTGTGTGTATATATATAGAGAGAGAGAGAGAGAGAGAAAGGAGCCAACATTTTTCTTTTAAAAAAATATTAACTGACTTCAAACAAAGACAATAAATTTGGAATAAACTGTGTAAAATCTGGCTCCCATATCATTTATAATAATTTATTTCCAATCTATAATGGAAAATGCCCTTTATCAGATTCAATTTATTTAGTTTTCAAGTGTCAAAAGTAAACACTGACATTGGGAAATGAAACCACTAGAAATAAATGACACAGAATAGCTGGACAAAATGAACATTTCACTGCTTATGTACCAACAGAACTCCTTTTTAAACCTCTTACTGCATCCTAAAAGAAGCCAAGTAAAAATTACATTATGCTAAAAAAAAAGTGCAATACACAAGGTGTGTATTATTCCAGTTTGAACAAAGTAAAATAGCTGAAACATTAGTTTGATTTCTCGCTTTCTCAAGGAGGGGAAAAAAAAACACGGAATTTTTATGTGGCTCATAAACAATAGTTTCATTTATTTTTCCCTCCAAATGAGAAATAAATGACAGCTAAATAATTATATCCTAAGCCACAAAGTAATTATATTCTCATGTTATTTGTATTGATCTCTAATAATGGCTTATCCTTTGGAGGCTGTCAAAAAATAAAAAAATGAAAACTCAAGATGTTTTCGAAAAAGAAGGCAACGGTGATACTTTAAAACTATGTAGCAAAACAAGCCCTATTTTTTTGTTTAACACAAATTATCACAACCAAAATTAATTATCAAGAGTAAAATTAAGACTTCATCCACAGAATTTCATTCTTTTGGAGTTTACATAATGGAGAAATTCTATAGATCTGGGAGAAAGTCCTGTAGATCTAATGTATAGCATGGTGACTGTAATTAACAATACTGTACTGTAAACTTGAAATCTGCTAAAAGAGTAAATCTTAAACAAATTTTCATCATACACATAAAATGGTAATGAGGTGAAGTGACAGATATGTTAACTAAACTGACTGTGGAAATCATTTCACAATATATATGTATATCAAATCATCATATTGCATGTACACCTTAAATATATATGGTTTTGTCAATTATGTCTCAATAAAGACAGTAAAAGCAAAAAAAAACAAAAAACACCAAACAAAAAAAAACAAAAAACACAAAAGAAACCAAAATAAATCTACATTGTAATGTGTTTAGCTCAGTGCTTTGAACATGGGCACTGAGTAAATGATAGATATTTTAAAGAAAGGGCCAGGTGTGGTGGCTTATGCCTGTAATTCCAGCACTTTGGGAGGCCGAGGCAGAACTGCTTGAAGCCAGGCATTTGAGACCAGTATGGGCAACAAAGTGAGACCTTGTCTCTATTTTTTTTTAATAATAAATAAGTAAATAAAATGTTAAAAGAAAAATCACTCAGTATAGTTGGCCATATTAATAAACTAAAGGAAAAATGATCATTTCAATAAATTGAGGAAATGTATTTGACAAAATTCAACACTCAAGTCACAACCAAAGAAAGTAAAAAAAGAGAAACTTAATTTAAGCAAACAAGGAATAAAAGGTAACTCTCCCAATCTGATAAAAGGCATCTGTTAAAAATCTATAGCTAACATCACACTTAATGGTAAAATAGTGAGTGCCTTCCCCCTAATACTGGGGACAAGGATAGGGATCAAGTGCAGGGAACCACACTCTCATCACTACAACTCAACGTTATACTGAAGTTCATAGCTAGTCGGATAAGGCAAGAAAAAAATTAAAGTAATAAAGATAGGAAAGAAAGAGGTAAAACTATATGTACAGATGAAAATGTCTACTCAGCTGGGAAAGGATTCTAGATTCGAGAAAACCACTATTAGAAAGAATAAATTTAGCAAAGTCACAAAATACAAGGTCCATATATAAGAATTATTTATATATGGGCCGGGCGCGGTGGCTCACGCCTGTAATCCCAGCACTTTGGGAGGCTGAGGCGGGCGGATCACGAGGTCAGCAGATCGAGACCATCCTGGCTAACACAGTGAAACCCCGTCTCTACTGAAAATACAAAAAAAAAATTAGTCGGGTGGCGGGCGCCTGTAGTCCCAGCTACTGGGGAGGCTGAGGCAGGAGAATGGCGTGAACCCGGGAGGCGGAGCTTGCAGTGAGCCGAGATCGCGCCACTGCACTTCAGCCTGGGAGACAGAGTGACATTCCCGTCTCAAAAAAAAAAAAAAAAAAATCATTTGTATTTACATATATCAGCAGTAGGCAATTAGAAGCAAAGTCTTAAAAACTGTCTCATTTATAACAGTGTTAAAACACAAATGAATTTAACTAAGTGCCAGACTTCTGCGTTGAAAATTACAAAGCAATGCTGAGAAAAATTAAGGAAGATCTAAATAAATAGAAATAGCTACCTACCATGTTCATTAATTGGAAGATTCAATGTGATTCAGTGCAATCCCAAACATAATCACAACTGTACTTTTTGGTAGAAATTGACTGGAAAATCAAAGGACCTATTATATCCAAAGCAATCATTAAAAGGAACAAATTTGGAAGACTTCAACTACCTGATTTACAGACTTACCAAAGTTACGGTAATCATGATATTGTGGCACTGGTATACGGCTCAACAAACAAATCAATGAATTAGGAGCAAGAGATCAGACGTTGAGCCACACTTATATGGTCATTTGATTTTAGACAAGGATACTAAAGTAATCCATCAGAGAAAGGAAGTTTTTTCAACAAATGGTGATATAAAAAAATTTTTTAACTGACAATAATAAATGTTGATGAGGATGTGGAGCAACTCAAATTCTCATACATTGTTGATGAGAGTATAAAGTGGAACTTTGGGAAAAAGGTCTGGTAGTTTATCATAAAGTTAAACACAGAACCTACCTAGTCAACTCAGCAATTCCACACCTAAGTATTTACCCAAGAGGAAAAAAATATATAAATCCCTAAAATGACTTACATTAGTATATTCATAGCAGCTTTATTTACAGTTGCCAAAAAATTAGAAATAGCCCAGGTGTCCATCAACAGTAGAATGAACAAATTAAGCCTTCTGATAGCCTGCTTTCACTTCTGAACCCTTCTGGTACATTATGAAATAACAGCTAGGTTGTTCTTTTAAAATATAAATTATATATCACTTCCCTAACATCCTGTTATAGTTGGAATAAAGTCTGAACTCTTGCCCTGTCTCCAAGGTCCTAAGATCTAGTCTTACTTACCTCATATCCTACCACTTTCCCCATAAGCCAGCCTTCTATCCCCTGAAAATAATAAACTTCCATCTTCAAGGCCTGCACTTGCTGTTCCTCTATCTCAGGAGAGCCCTGTATCCAGAATTTTACATAACTCTTTGTCATTAGTCTGGCTTTAGTTTAAATGTACCCTCTCCAGACCACCCCCAATTTCCTAACTGATGTAGCTTTCTTTCCCCAATCTCTATTCAGTCACCCTTTCTTATTTCTTCATTGTACTTACCACAAACTAAAATTACCTTTTGTTATTTATATGCTTGTTGTCTTTCTTCCCAGGGCTCAGAGAAGTGAGGTCTCTGAACACAAAAACTATGTCCTGTTGACCAACATGTTCCCTAGTACCTAAAAGAATTCTTAATACATGGCAGATACTCAGTAAATACATGTTGACTAACTAGTTATTGGTATTCACAAGGTTGTCTTCAAATGTTAACACATTTGGAGACCAATAAACAGTGACATTATTTAAGACTTAATTTAGATATTTGAAGAATTCAAGAAATTTATAAGATCTTTCTTTTTTTTCAGAGAAGTTTAGCAAGAAATATAAGACATTTCTTAATACTAGCTCAGGCAATTTTTTTCGAGTGGACATAATTAGTACATTAGTTCTGCCTATATTTGACTTGTGATCCTGTCAAGTTCATCAGTTAAACTGTAGACTTCATTTATTCTAATAAAGTCATCACAAATATACCTATTTTTAAAAGTGGGCAAAATACATGAACTAGTAGCTTAGCAAGTACCTACTGTGATGTTACCCATCTTGCTTTGTAATGTTATATTACCTGCAAAAAAAGAAAAAGATACTTTCATGTACTAGAGACAATCTAGAAAGGAACTGTGATACATAGCAATGCTAAAACATGGATGAATATCTACAATGTTATTTTTGTGGGCAATTTTTCCCAATATCACAAATCCAGTCAAAGATTTAGCTGTAGTTCTGAAATAACTAGCCTTAGGTACCTCTGCAAACCTTCTTTCTCTACTACCAAACCTTAAGCTTTTATAGCATAATTACAAATCACCATACCTACTGGCACAGAGGAAAAACAATACTTCTAAAATCCATAAGTGAAAAAAAATTACTGAAACATAATCACTATACATTTTCAACCTAAATATCAATGTGTTTATCAGATCACACAAAGCCAAGTTTTCAACCAAGTAACACTAAAATATGATATGGAAAAAAAGAATTACGTTTATTTTTCAGGCCACTTGCCAAGTCTATTAAAGTAGTTTCTGGGCCAAGAATTAAAGTGGTTTGAGATACAAATAATGAATACATGGAGGTATGACTAACAAAACAGAACAAAGAAGCTTCAAAGGTTTCCGTCTTAGTGAAAATATGTTTCCCATGATAGGTATGGAATATTGCAACCATTCTTCCCAGCCCCTTTCCTCTAATACCAAAAGTAGTAGGATTATTCTTCATATGTGTGTTTGTATGTATAAGTATTCCTAAAATCAGGAACTCATATTTATTCTACTGAAAATATAAGCAATAATGTTATCTCTTCTAAAATAATTCCAAAACTATACTAAAAAGTAAAGGAATAACTTTGGCTTCAGAATTAATCTTCAGTAAACTCATTTTATCTCATTTCATATACCTTATGAATACTGACTTGTATCAGTATCTGGGAAAAAGCAAAAAAGGCACTGGATTCATTTACTCAACACAGCCAGATGCACCTGATTGCAAAAATCCATCTAAAGGTCTAATATACCATCATATTTCCTGTGAGTGTATGAACAAGGAGTATATTTGTGTATGAATAAAAACTTGGTTTGTGTACTGAAGCTTATAGGATTACTATTTTTTTTTTCATATTTTAGATTCGGGGATACACGTACAGGTTTTTTACCTGGGTATATTGTGTGATGCTGAAGTCTGGGGTACAAATGGTCCCATCACCCACGTACTAAGCATAGTACCCAATAGATTTTCAACCCTTGCCCCATCCCTCCATGCCCCATCTAGTAGACTCCAGTTTCTATTGTTGCCATCCTTATGTCCATGATTATCCAATATTTAGCCCCCACTTATAAGTAAGACCATGTGGTATTTGGTTTTCTATTCCTGTGTTAATTCACTTAGGATAATGGCCTCCAACTGCATCCATGCTGCTGCAAAGGATATAATTTCATTCTTCTTTATGGCCACATAATATTCCATGGTGTATATGTACCACATTTTCTTTATCCAGTCTACCACTGATGGGCACATAGGTTGATTATATGTCTTTGCTATTGTGAATAGAGCTGCAGTGAACATGTTGAGTGCATGTGTCTTTTTGGAAGAATGATTTATTTTCTTTTGGATATATATCCAGTAATGGGATTGCTGGGTTGAATGGTAGTTCTGTTTTAATTTCTTTGAGAAATCTTCAAACTGCTTTGCACAGTGGCTGAACTAATTTACATTCCCACCAACAGTGTATGAGTTTTCGCCTTTCTCCACAGCCTCGCCAGTGTCTGTTGTTTTTTGACTTATTTTTAGTAATAGCTATTCTGACTGGTGTGAGATGATATCTCATTGTGGTATTGATTTGCATTTCTCTGATGACTAGTGATTTGGAGCAGATTTTCATGTTTGTTGGTTTCTTGTACGTCTTCTCTTGAGAAGTATCTGTTCCTGTTTTTTGCTCATTTTTAATAGGGTTATTAGTTTTTTGCTTATTGATTTGTTTAACTTCCTTGAAGATTCAAAGGAACAAAGGATATTAAACCTTTGTCAGATGCAGAGTTTGCAAATATTTTCTCCCATTCTGTAGGTTGTCTATTTACTCTGTCGATAATTTATTTTGCAGTGCAGAAGCTTTTTCATTTAATTAGATTCCACTTGCTTGGACATGGCCTATAAATGAATCTGAAGGGGTGACTCTAAAACCTTTTGTTAAGACCCCAGAAAGATGGTGGTACCTCATGGTATTAATCAGTTACACCAAAAAAAAAAAAAAAAATTTAAAAAGATTAAGACCTCACAGATCCTCTCAATCAAATAGACCTAGAAAGCTTGAGGGCATTAACCTCAATATTGCTACAGAAACCCATATTTTGAAAAGATTTTTGGGTGTGGCTTTTGTCTAATGGAATGAAAGCCAGTGAGATTCACAGAAGACTGACAAAGTTTTTGAGACAATTATATCAGTAAATATTGCAACTTGGACTGAAGGGGACAGTGACAGTACAAAGTGAAATGAGACCACAGGACCCTCAAAATTCTACTAGCAGGAAGCAGACTGAGAAAACTACTCAACTGTAAAGATGTGCTACATTTAATAAAAAACGATGAATGACTTAGAGGGTGGAACCAAGAGCTCAGTGGTCGAAACCTAGAACCATGAAGAATTATTCCCAGGCCTTGAGATCTAATAAAAGAACCTCTAACATTTGCCCACCTGAAAAAATCACTATGGATCAGTGACTCCTTTGTGCCTCCCATTTCAACAAGAAAGTCCACAGTCATTATCCAATGCCTGTCCACTCTGTTTGGTATGTAGGTGATGTGTGTGTGTATATGTGTGTGTGTGTGTGTGTGTGTGTGTGTGTATGTTTGGGGGGTGGGTAGACAACTTGTCTCTTTAGTTCATCAGTCTTCAGATTCGCACCTGAGGAGCTTCATTTTCACCTGGAGCTGATTTTGATGCAGAGATTCTGGTCTTTCAGCTGATGCATGATGGGATGATACTTTTGGGTACCTTGGGAGGAAGAGAGTATATTTTGCATGTAGGAAGGACATGAATCATTGGAGGGCCAGAGGACACAGTGGCTATCCAAAACCTCATAGAATATCTGGAAAGATGCACACATGAAAAGTTAAAAATCAGTATATATTAATAATTTTAATATCCTAAGTGGACAGCATGACTCAGGTGCCACAGCACTTACAGGAAAGAGACTAAAATGACCTAGCTTGGACAGGGAGGTTTAGTCATATAGAAGGTATCACTTGAGCTGAAATTTGAAATGTGAGTAAAATGTTAATATGCTGAGAAAAAAAACATTTCCTGGGAAAATAAATCATATAAGCAAATGTAAAAAAGCAGAGCTATACATACTATGTTTAAATAATGCAGATCAGATAGGCTGGAGCAATGAGGCAAGTCTATGAGGACAGGAATCACATCTTTCTTATTTAGCTTCATATCTGGGAACTTAGCACAGTGCATAGTACATAGTAAACACAATTATTTTGTGAACAAATAAAAAGTTTGGAAAAGTAGGCAAAGAGCAACGTGTGGTAGAACCACAGAGTGCTAAGTCTACTGACTATCCTACACCAAAAATGTCAGTGAAGAATTTCAAGATGGATAAAAATATAAGAAAACCATGCTTTAAGGAGATTGCCCTAGTGTGAGACAGTGGGTGTTTCCATACTCAGCATTCTCTTTACTGCTTGTTGTGGTTTGAATGTTCCCCCAAAAGTTCATGTGTTGGAAACTTGGTCCCCAGTGCAGCAATACTGTGAGGTGGGACCTTTGGGAGTTAATTGAGTCATAAGGGCTCTGCCCTCATGAATGAATTAACCCATTCATGAATCAATGGATTAATGGGTCATGGAGGGAGTAGGTTAGCTATCACAAGAGTGGGTCTGTTATAAGAGCCAGTGTGGGTGTCTCTCATGCAGCCTCTCTCCATGTGAAGCCTGAGCCATTTCATGACTCTGCAGAGCCCCTATCAGCAAGAAGGCTCTCACTAGATGCAGCTCCTAGACCTCAGACTTCTCAGCCTCCAGAACTGTAATATATAAACTTTAAAAATCACTCAGTCTCAGGTATTCTGTTATAGCAAGAGAAAACAGACTAAGACACTGCTCTAACTCCTGAACAATAAAAGATGAAGCAGACAGGTCCCTGATATTTGTAACTTTATTAATAAAGAACTATGATAAAGTTTTACAGTCATTTAGCTAGTGAATCCAGTCACCCACTCATCAAGGCAATGGAGCTTTACTGTTTTACACTAGTCTTTAATAATGCAGTAAAAATTTACTATTTTTTTAAATAAAAGTATGGTCTTTTTTAAAAGGCCAATCATTAGTGCTTGTCACAAAAGTGAGGAGGTCTTGAGAAAATAATGATTCTTTGAACCAGAAAATAGAAGTTTTAGATCTATACGAAATGAGGGTTAGTTGATTATAGTGGGACCTATAGAGTTTCAGATAACATTCTTCATGAATGTTAGAGTCCTACTGTATACTAAAAGCATAATGGAGCAACAACAACAAAAACCCAAGGAATTAAGGAATCATTTCAAATACTGTATGGTTATATACTATATAGTTATACACTTCAAAATATTTTTGTCAATTCTAAATAAAACAGTAAACAAAAACTTATTTTCAACTCATATCAAAATATTTAGAAAATCTCTACCTTAAACAGAAATATTCTAAAGTCATTAGAAAACACAAAATGGATGCCTTGCCTCAAATGCATAGTGGAATAAAGTATTATATTTAAAAGTATACAAAGCAACAAAATGGGCATTATTAGCAAAATTTTCTATATTTTGGTTTCACCTACTTCATATCACTGAAAATAATAAATTAATTATTTGAGAGGAGTAAATCTTAGTAAAAGTTTCTTTCCAATAAAGCAGACACCAGATGCTCTGTAATAACTATGTGTGCTTACCCTACTCTCAAGTTATATAACTTTTCCACAAATCCCAGTGTTTGAGAAAATAGATAGCTTTTCTTAGCTTGTAACCTTTCATTCTAGCATGGTCAGAGGAAAAAAATACGTAATCAATTTAAAGATAAACATTGGTTTAT